CCGGATGGTGAAAGGTTTGCCCTGGGCTGGTAACCAGGAGGCTGGTGGTTTGAACCCACCATGGGAGAAAAGGGCTGGAAACCTGCTTCCCTGAGAAGAGTTCTGGGGAGAAGTCCCACTCTGGAACGTGTGGAGTGGCCATGATTCGGGACTGATTTGATGGTGCAAGATGACAGGAGCAAAGGGTGAAGGAACAAACACTGAGGGCTGATCACTTATAGGCTGGACCAAGAGTGAAAACTTCTTACGAGTTCTCACCTTCTGACTGGGGAACGTGGTGGAGATAAGCCTTGTGCACCAGTGGGACACGAGCAAAATACTTTTAAGAAAAAAAGCCATTACAACCAATGTTCCTCTCAGTGGGAATCTTGGGAATGAGAGCCAGACAAGAATGCCCTTTTCACCACTCCTACTCAGCATTGTTCTGGAAGTTCTAGCCAGAGTGATAAAGCAAGAAAGGGAAGGAAAAGGCATCCAAATTGATATGGAAGGAGTAAAACTGTCCAGGGGACCCTTAGTACCACTGTGGAATAATTGGAACCGAACTCCTGCAAAGCGAAGCTTCTTTAAGGCCAAGGAGGTCTCCAGGGAATGCCAGACCTGCAGGGGCTGAAGGAAACACGAATGACTCCTACCTCCAGCAGAGAGAGAGTGGACTTTCTGCTAGAGCTGGCATCCCGAACTTGGCCTTTCAGTCTCCTATTGCAGAGCCTCTGTTCCAGCAGCACTAGGTAAGCAAGCCAGAGGGCCCTGTGCAGCCCTGTTCAGTAGAGATATAACCATAGCCATTGTGTAATTTAGACTTGTCTACTTGCTATGAATCAGAGAGCGGGACAATGACTAAGGATTATAGAAGAAGAATTGAGGCCTTTAAGTTGTGGTGCTGGAGTATAGTATCAAACATACCATGGGCCTCCGGGAGAACAAACAGGTCTGTCTTGGAGAGGGTGAAACTGAAAGTTTCTTCCTGGAGGCAAGGATTTTGACGTTCCGTCTCACATACTTGGGGCACATGGTCTGGAGGGACCGGTCCTTCAGAAGGACATCATGCTCTGAAGGGTAGAAGAACAGTGCAGGAGAGGAAGACCCTGGATGAAATGAATCGATTCAGTAACTAGGGTAATAGGGGGAGGTGTTTCGGAGTCAGTGAGATGGCTCAGGATAGGACAAAGCCCAAAGCGATTGTACGTAGAGTCACTGTGAGTCGCGGATAACTCGGTGACACTTAACAACAATAGCTGGATTGAAAAAGCAAAGCAAAAGAGATTAAATTAACTTTAATGGCACATATAATTTATCTCAATATGCCCAAAATATATAATTTCATATATATAATATCGCTGTTGTTGTGTACCATCGAGTTGGAAGTGGCCCTTAGCTGAGCTCCTAGTTTTCAGAAGCAGTAAATCACTCAGGAGGAGAATCGCATCTTTCTCCAAGAGAACTGCAGGTATATTCGAAGCATGTGCATTTTGGTTGGCAGCACAACTCCTTACCACTAACCCACCATTTCATATCATCAGTATAAAAATGATTATTTAATTATCAATGAGAAATAAACTATCATTGTTTGCAGATGATATGGTTCTATCCATAGAAAATCCCAGAAATTGTATGAGACCTACTGAAGCTAATAGATGGATTCACAGTGACAAAGGGCAAATTCTACACACAGGCATCCTCACTACAAACAAAAGGAACCTGAAAAAGAAATCAGGAAAACGTACAATCTACAAGTCACGAAAACAATGAAACACTTAAGCACTAAATACTTAACTACTTAACACGCCTGACTAAAGATGTAGATTAGGGAGCTCTAGTGGCCTAGTGGTAAGAAACTGCGCTGCAATCTCAAAGGCACACTGTTCAGATCCACCAGCTGCTCTTTGGGAGAAAGATGGGTATACTCCTCCCATGCAATTTACTGCCTCTGAAGATCCACTGGAGGGTCAGCTATGGGTTGGTTCTGACTCGACAGCCTGCATAAACAACAAGGATATAAATAATTTGTTGTTATTGTTGTTAAGTGCCGTCGAGTCACTTGCAACTCATAGAGACCCTATGTACAACAGCCCTAAACTCTGCTCTGTCCTGTGCCAATCACACCGTCTCCAATACACCCATCCCGATTACCCCAGTCACTGAATCAATCCACCTCCTAGAGGGTCTTCCCCTCCTGCGCTGTCCCTCCACCCTACCAAGCATGATGTCTCTCTCCAAGGACCAGTCCTTCCTTACAACATGTTCAAAGTATGTCAGACGAAGCCTCAGAATCCTTGCCTCCAAGGAGCCACCCGGTTTAACCCTTTCCAGGATGCATCTGTTTGTTTTCCTGGCAGTCCATGGTACTTTCAATACTCTTATCTAGCACCAAAGCTCAAAGGCATCAATTCGCCTTCTATCCTCCTTAGTCATTGTCCAAATCTCTGATGCATAACAAGTGATAGCAAAGACCATGGCCTGTGTCAGAGGCACCTTAGTCTCCAGAGAGACCCCATTGCTCTTCAGTACTTTGGAGAGGTCCCTAACAGCAGACTTTCCCCTAGCAATACGTCTTTTAATTTCCTGGCTACTGGTGCCAAGAGTGTTGACTGTGGAGCCAAACTAAAGCTGTGAAATGGTAAGAAAGAAGGCATTGTGCCTCTGCTCTTTATCCTCCAGTGAGGGCTTCGTTTTCCACAGTTTGTACATCAGTTAGTTATCTAGTGCTTCTATAACAGAGGTGGCTTTAACAAACCATTGGACGCAAGTGGTGGATGATTGCTTTAATGAACAAACATTTATCCTCACAGATTAGGAGCTTAAATTCCAAATTAAAAGTGCCATCTCTAAGGAAAGCTTTCCATTTCCTGATTCTAGGCATTTGCTGGAGCAGGAAACTGGGTCCAAAGAAAACTGTTCCTCTCATAGCCCTTCTTTCTTGGGGGTGCTGAGGTTCCCTCTCTCTGATTGGTATTTTTCTCCTTTTATCTCTTGTGAGATAAGGGGTAATACAAACCACACCCCAGGGAAGAGATTGTCAGTCATTATGCACATGTGTTTGGAGGGGATGAGCTAGTCCGTGATAATGCATGATAATACCTCACAAAGCAAAAAGAAATAACAAGCATCATGAACATGATCAGAGTATATGTTCTTGGAGTTTGTATTTTAAACTTTAAGAAGTAGAGTTAACTCCCTTTTATTATTATGAGGAAAGCACAGATAGCAGAAACTTGGCCAATTCAACAAAGCAGCCTATTCCTTTAAAAAAAAAACACACAACAAACTATGGAGAAGAGTACTGAATATACCATGGACTGCTAGGAGGACAAGCAAGTTCATCCTGAAGAGGGTAAAGCCAGGCTCCTCCTTGGAGGCAAGGATTCTGAAGCTTCGTCTGACATACTTTGGACATGCTGCTGCAAGGTGGGATCAGTCCTTGGAGAGGGACATCATGCTTGGGAGGGTAGAGGGACAGAGCAGGAGAGGAAGACCCTCAATGAGATGGATTGTTCAGTCACTGAGGTAATGAGAATAGGTGTGTCAGAGATAATAAGATTGGCATGGGATAGAGCAGGGTTTAGGGCTATTGTACATAGGGTCGCTATGAGTCGCAGGTGACTCAACAGCACATAACAACAACAACTCAGTTTCTAAATGCAGATTGTAAACAATGCAAGGTCATTGTAAAATCAGGCATATTCCTGTGTTGCCTTTCCAAAATCATCATGGTTTATTGTAACTTAGTGAAATTTCTCTGTCCTGGTCCTGCAGAAATTATTCTCTTTGTTTGACACTTGGATTCAGGGAAATCCATTGTTGTTATCTACTTGTGATTTGTTTTGGAAAAGAACACATAAAATACAAGAGTCTCCCTTGCTATCACCATGCACCCAGCCTCTGTCACTTATCCAGCCACCCTGTGGAGCAAGTGCAGATAAAAAAGGATCATCATTCCACCAAGCAGGTCTGTGTGAGGAAGGCAGGCCTGCTGACGGGGAGAGAGAGTCTTCAGAGCATGTGCCTGGGAGCCAAATGAACTTCTTAAAAGGAACCTGTTTAGAATCATCTCTTCACTGTGCATTCAGCACCAATGAAGGTGATGACTATTTCTATTAGTGGTCACACCTTGTAAAGATTATATTCTATTGAGATTTCTCTTTTCATAGTGGAGCATGTGCTTACGTTCTGTGATACTCAAAGCAAGGTTTAGAATACAGGTGGAACACAAGGGTTGTCATCGTCCCAAGCTGCAGCAAAATTCCTGTGTTGTTGTTGGCTCCCACTCACAATGGCTCTGTATACAAAGCACTGCTCCATCCTGTGCCATCTCACCACCTCTGCCATGCTGGAGCCCACTGCTGCAGTCACTGTCAGTCCACTTCATGCAGGGTCTTCCTCTCCTTCACTGACTTCTCACTTCTCTAGACACCATGTCTTTTACCCATGGACTCACCGCTCCTGACGACATGTCCAACGTATAGGAGAAAGAGACTCACTCTGGCTACACTTCTTCCAAGAAAATTTTCTTTGTTCTCTTGGCACTTAGTTCACAATATAGGCAATACTCTTCACCCACAGCACAGTTCCTTAACTTCCTGTTTTTTTTATTCAACCTTCCGATGCACTGTATTTCTAGATCATAACGAAAACAAAATTGTTTTTACCCTTATCAAGTGGATCAAGAACAAAGAAGAAGTGAGATACTGCTAGCTAAAATGAACCCACAACAAACTATCAGAGTGCTAACATCATTAACTCCAGTGTTTCTCACTCAGGTCGTGTCTGCAAACTCACGGAGCAGGCCGCTTCTCCTCTAGAGCCGAGCAGGACCGGGCTCAGTCAGGCTCACAAAGTTGTGTCTTTTATTGTCTGACCAATTACCTGGACTGGCCTTTTAGAGATTAGACTGTTTACACATCTTGAATAAGCATGCCATACAATTTGAACAATTTCTTACAAGTAAGCCAGTGTCTTCTTTCTTTCTTTTTTTTGTTGTGTGTCTGTGTTTCTAAAAGGATGACATGGGAAAACTAGGCAAGCTGCTGATGCACGACCCTTTCAATGTCTGGACGGTTCACAAGGATCGTTATAAAATGAAGGATTTCATGCGCTTTAAGCCCAGCCAGAGACAGATCTATCTGTTTGAAAGGGGGATCGTGTTCTGTAAGATAAGAGTGGACCCCACTGACCAGGGGCTGTCACCTCATTACAGCTTTAAGAAGTCGATGAAGGTAACGGGTGTGTCGATGCCCCTGTGTGGTTTGAACCATTGACACGCCTGGCTGTTGGCCACTTAGCACTGCTTTAGCAGAGATGCCACAAGTGGGTGGTTTTCACAAGCAAACATGTTCTCTTACAGTGTAGGAGACTTAGAAGTCGCCCCCGCTCTCTGTCAGCTCACAATCTGGAGGAAGGGCCCTTGCTCCCTGAAGCGTCTGTGGGCCTGGTGTTCCTTGACAGCTCCGTACAACTTGACCTTCACTTCCTAGCACAGGAACCTGAATCCAAAGACACCCACCCCACTCCTGGTGATTCTGAGGCCTCCCCTTTAGAATGCCTACCCTTCCCTCCTGTGTCTTGTGAGCTAAAAGGTGTTATAGGTCATACCCAAGGGACACTCCCCTTGCAGGAGCTCAGGGCTGCAATGGAATTAAGGGGTGTGGTATTCCACCCTTAATCCTTTTACAACTGTTTATCAGATCCTGCCTGATGATTACATAGCTTCCACATTATATCATTATTTATGTGTAGTTGGGGAAAGCGACACAATTCCATCCCTGACAGCCGCTTACTAGACAGTCAAGCTCACCTGCAGGCACCTTGGAAGAAAGGCCTGGTGCCCTTCCTGGGACGAGCAGCCCCTGTGGAGCAGGGTTCTACTCTGACACACATGGGGTCTCCATGAGTCAGAAAAGGCTCAATAGTAACTGGCTATTGCACCAGTGGGGGATGTGCGTGTGTGGTGGTGGTGTCACCACAATCCTAAGAAGAGAGAGAAGGAGAAAAGGAAACTGAAGCTTAGAGCCCAGAAACCCCTTGCCTCCAAGTCTGACTCATAGAAGAAGCACAGAGGGTTTTCAAGGCTGCAGATACTTATAAGAGGAGACTGTCCATCTTCTTTCTCAAAATGACTAGTGGGCTCAATCTGTCAACCTCGTGGTTAGCAGTTCCACAGACAGCTTATAAAGGTACCATATGGCAGAGCCAGAATGAAGGCTATTCGTCAACACCACACTGGGTTAAGGCTAGGACAGAGGTGTCTTCACGCCCAGGAGAAACAAACAGCCCTACAGCAGCTCCTCTGGACGGATTAATTGGAGAAAAGGCTCCCTCTCCAAAGCGTGATTAGTGTTGGGCTGGATTTCAACTTGTACTCACCCTTCTCAAATGGGCATCTTGGTGTGTAACCATCGGCGGATAGCCTGACCCTGTTCATCTGGAGCTCACATCCACAGCAAGCTCTGTCTCTTGCTCAGACAGGAAATGTATTGTGGCTATATCACACACACACACACACACACACACACACACACACACACACACACACACTCTCTCTCTCTCTCTCTTCTTTACTGTGTATTTGTGCTCTTGTCTTTAGTATTGTTCATTTCTTTATAGTAGCCTTTTCTATTATGTTCTTAATGGAGACCCTTTTCAGGTGACTTCCTGATAAGCCACGGCTAACCCCAAGGCCTGTGGTCAGTGTGCAGCAGCAGGAAGGAGAAAGCTAGGCAGTCCCCTCCCCTGAGATGTACAGACTCTGAGAACCCCCTGGAGGGCCAGCTGTGAGTCAGTTGTGACATGGTGGTAAACAACAACATGGTGTGAGGATTTGTGAAATATAGTAAAGCCTGCATAAGTCTGAAATCTATCAGAGAAGGAAAACGAAGAAACTTTCCACCAATAGAGAGTGACACATGAGTTGGAAGACCGACTCCCCCCATGGTGGAAAATGTGGGAGACTCAGAAAAAGAAAGCAGTTACACCACGTTCTTGCCTTCATGCATTCCAGCATATTTAGGTGTTAAAGAAGGCATGATGCCTGCACCAAAACCTGAAGGTTTTAACTTTACAAGTGGAAAGATGCAGTCTGTATTACCCTCGAAAGGGACAAGAAAAATGAAGCTGTTCCTGATTGTGCTTCGTAGGGCCGTTAGCAAGAGTTCCTGGGTGACACAAACAGTTAAGCGGTCAACCTTCAGGTTGGTGGTTCAAGTACATCCAGAGGCATCTCAGAACAAAATCCTGGCAATCTGCTTCTATAAGATCCCAGTCACTGAAAACCCTTCATCTAAAATGAAGTTCTACTTTGAAACACCAGCCGTCTCCTTGGATGGGAACTGACATGACTGTCATCGGCTTGGGTGTCTGTGCCTTGAGGGACTCTTGTTGTTGCTGTTGTTTCATATCATCAGGTCAGAACGAACCCATAGCTGACCTGCCAGCAGGTTTTTCAGGGGCAGTTATCACATGGGAGGAGATTGCCCATCCTTTTCCTGCAGAGCAGTTGGTGGCCTTGAACCACATGCCTTCAGGAGAGCAGCACATCTTCTTGCCACTAGGCTAGCAGAGCTCCTGAGGAACCATTAGAAAAGGAAACAGAACACTTGGAAGGAAGATGAACAAAGACAGTTGTCAAAGGTGGAAAGAATCAGTGGCTGACAGAGATAGTGTTTACATTAGAAAGTCATAATAAATTCAAACTTAAGACTGTGGAGTTGCGTCCAACCTCGAGGAACCCTCGGTCAGGTTTCTGAGGCTGTCGAGTGGAACAAGAGATTGCCCATCTTCTCCCCTGGAATCAGTATACTTGAATCACTAGAGAGGCCATGCTTCTGGGCTATCTGTGCAACTCATTACAGACTATGCCACCGGAGCACCATTTACATCAGAAAACAATGAAGTAAAAGATCTCTCTTCTCTTTTTACAATAGTTGATGGCACTTTCAATTCACCAAGTTGGAAGAGGGAACAACAAAAAATTTGAAATTGCCAGTCAAGATGGACTTGAGAAACATATCCTACAGGTAAAACTGCCTCCCCTAGAAGCAGCCTCTACCTGTTCCTTATCACATTCCCACATTCTGTCTGGTTACTCTACAGGTGACCCAGAGAATGAGCCATCTGATCGTAATAATGCTTTCTATCTGTAATTGCAGGCAGCTTCTAAAGAAGTCAGAGATTCCTGGTTTTCAGAAATAAGTAAATTACTGATGGGACAACAACAAAATATTAAAGGTAGGCTGTCCTCTTGGCCTTAATCTGCAAGTACACCGTCTTCAACTTTGGGATAAGTAGGCATATTAGAAATATTGTTAAAGGAAACACTTTGACAGGAAAACAAACTGTGACCACACTTTCATAGTCCCTGGAAGCTCTTGTGTTTGCTTTCTGCTGTGCGGTGGTGTCTGCTTTGCTTTGAGGCATGTGTACATGGTGGGGTGTGTGTTTTACTTGTGTAACTCATATATATATATACATACATATACTCAT